GTGGGAAAATGTAATGTATAGTAATCGAACAAATAATCAGTAAAAAACCCCTCTTGTTCATACCTCAACTTAGCAAAAGAAATATCAATTTAAACACAAAAGAGCGTAAATTTTTCTCAAATTCTAAATCGGAACACGTTTGCCTCAACCAATTCAAAGCCAAATTCAGAAACAGCTACATATGTACGCGGAAAAATTGTCTATAGAAGAACACCTTACAAGACCACTGGTGCGTTATTTGCTACAACAGGAACAACAATTCTTCAATTTTACATATACATATAATAGTACAATAAATCACAAATAGTGCGGAAATTTTATGATTAGCGAAATACATATACATACACGTACGAGGGAAATTTGAAAAGTCAGTGACTTTTTGAATAAAATGTGGTCGTTTTTGCTTAAAATCTCTGAATAATATTCGCCAGCGATCGTTTTGCCCGTTTGAAGATAGTCATGATCTTATTGACCGACAGACTCACTTTGGCTTTCTTTGATGCACTTCTTGATTGTTCTTTGATCTGTGGTGTGTTGTGTGGTGGATCCATGTTTCGTCAGTGGTTACAAAAAGACGCAAGAAACTCGTTCGGATTGCGGCTGAATATCGCCGGTGATACGGTTGCATTTGTGGTCGAGGTTGTGCAAGCGCAGCACACATGGCACAGATAGCTTTTTCATATCCAAATATTGTGATGTACCCACTCAGTTGAGATGCTTGCAGCCTCAGCCACCTCACACACTTTCATTCTTCAATCGTCCAATATCACTCCATAAATTTTTTCAAAAGATTTCTGGCCTGACGACCTCTTGGGCGATCTAAACGTTCGGAGTCACTTGTGCTGGCTGGTACGACCACAACGGAGCTCAGTAAACCACTTTTTAATCATTGAAATTGATGGTGCAGAATCCGCATAGTATTTATTAAGCCTTCCCTTGGGTTCGGTAATGGAATTTTTACGCAAAAAATAATGCTTATTCAGCACACGAAATTCACTTTTTTTATTTTGGTTAAAATTCAAGGGGTTGTCTGTTTTCAATGGCTGTCCAACACAAACTATTATTAACAATTTTATAGTAGTCTACTCATCGATGGCAGTTGACGCGAGCAGCATTACATTTAAAGTTACTGCGCGGGAAATTCAAGAATTCACTGACTTTTCAAATTGCCCTCGTCTGTACATATATATGTACACAGAGTTGCGGGTAAAATGGCATTCACCATTGAGACAGATCAGTCAACAACATACATATGTACGCATTTGTGTGTTATAAGCCTACACGTATGTATGTAGTAATTCAGCCAACAAAACAAATTGAAAAAATTCGCACCAAAAAAAAGTGACGTTTGTGTTGTTGTTTACAGTGGCAGCAAATCGTTGTGCGAAAAAACATAACCACTAAATCGCCTAGATATCTACTTTAAGCGCATAATGAGACATGCACACACACAAACACAGATTCACATGATTTTGTTTAGATCGAGTTGCGCTACCCTTTTGAAGTGCGGCTTAAAACCAAAGGTAAACCCGACTCGCAGCCAGCCGGAGCGAACTGAATTGCAATGAATGGCAGAAACGGCAAATTATTGTACATACAGTGACTCAAACAAGTGAACACATATTTTTTTTATTCGCAATTTTTTTTAGGTAAAATTTGTTAAACCAAAACCATACCATATCAAAGTTTCAAACTTTACTTATACAAAATTTAGGAAAATTCAACAAATTTTTATCAAAATTTAAAACTTTTTGATCTAGATCTTTAGAACATTCATGGGTAAGTGGCAGTTTTATAGCCCATGCTATTTTAGTCTGAATTATACTTTTATATTAATAGAAAAATAACAAAAAAAAAATTAAATATTTATAAAACAATGAACAGGTGGTCACTTGTTTGAGACACTGTTTGTATGTTTGTATGGCGAAGTAAAACTAACTTTATAGAACATATAACAGTTGGAAAGGCGGTAGGTGAGGCATGGCAGAAATTGTGAAAAACTAAAACAAATAGAAAAAGAATGGATTTACAAATCATTTGGAACGGTGCGCTGACATTAATACATACCATATAAACTACGTTGGCTATGTATGTACATATGTACAAACGCATAAACATATGCGAATTTGAACAGTTCCACGCACACACTCATATGTATGTATGTATATGCACAATTGCATGAGCTCATAATGGGGCCGCCAGCATACAGCTACACAATCTAACGTCTGCCCGACAATTGACCGCGACGCATAGCTAATGTAGAGCGATTACACAGTAGAAAATACAAGTTATAAATTACTGCTGCAAACTTGCATAGAAAATGTATAAAAGCAAATTTGAAAAATACTGTTTTTACATTTCTATAGATCTTGCTTTTAGCTCAAATAATGGTAAAACGACTAAATACATAGTACTTCGTACATACCTACATACACAAATTCATAACTCAAAACTTCACATCCGATATCTGTTTTGCTACTATGCGCAGATTTGCGTCTCAGTTATGCGGCTTTGGATTTTTTCAGGATCACTTCGATCAAGGAGAATTCAAAATGGCGGCTAAGAGTTTCAAACAAATCCAATTTTTTTTTTTTAAGTTGGTCGCCCTTTCGGATCCGCTATTTTGAATTTTGAAAATCTGACATGAGATTCGTAATCAGTAGCCCCGGAAACTCACTGGGAACGAGTTTCAACCCTTGACAATGCTTAAAACGTTCAGTACCAACGTTTTCATTTTAGTATTTTATTTTTTCAAATTTGATTGCCATATTGGATCCGCCATTGTGAATTTAAACAAATTTACTTAAGATTAGTAAAAAAAACTCCCGAGTGCTGGGTTTCGAACAAATATAAAAAACAGACCAATGCGACCTCTAAAAAAAACTTTTTTTTTAATAAAAAAAATAAATAACAATAATTTAATGTAGCGTTTGTGAATTTCCAAAAAGAGTGTTTTTATGAACCACTCTAATACATACATTTCTATAAGTAACTCCAAGTCCTTTTCTTTACACTTTTTTTATGCTGTAAGTAGTTAGATGTGTTTTTGGTTAGTGCATTGGTGTCTGCAATTTAGTGTACTGGTGTGCATGCAAGCCGAATGAAAATTAAAAAATTCGTCATAGACTTGAGCAAATGTCAAAAATGAAGTTATCCCAGCTGTAGGGATTTTTTTTTGGCAATCAGCTGAGACTGCTTTTACTTAGCAGGTTGTATGTATGTATAATGATACAAACCTTTCTAATGAAATACGGATTTTTTTTGGAGCACAAAATTTTCTTAGTGCAACTGTTTTTGAATGGCAAAAAATTTATGCTAATTTTCATAATGTTTTATTTGCTTTAATAAGCGTTCAAAAAATTTACATACTCAAGCGCTTCCGCTCTTTTCACCTATTAGAAAGCAAATGGAAAATATGTGTGTACTAAATATGCAAGTCAGTCTGTACATTCGCACTGCTCGTCAATCAAAGTGGCTCGGATTTTATGGAAATGCGTACATACTTGAAGTACATGCAGGTATATATATCGCGACACCATTTATTTTAAAACACTGCGGATACATAAATAAATGAGCTACTCAAATTTTGTATGCGGTCTGTGGTGAGAATATTCATTAAGTATTTGAACAATAAGGTACCTACCCAAGCATGTACATATTATGCAAATACATAACTAAAAAAAATGACAAATTTATATGCGTGCGCAAGTTTGCCTATAAAAATATTGCAAGTATCTAGCTACATATGTACGTATATATCCACATGCATATGACACCCTCAAAAATGGAATATTTGACATAAATTAAATTGGGTGAGGAATTTGTTTTTGTGGTGTGTTTAAGGCAAAAATGTATTAACATTTTAAGAAAAGGAAAGCCGAGGGGTACTTTAGAATTTTTTATTGAGTTAAGCTCAGCTAAAAATAGGCAAGTTCAGTAATGTCGAAAAATCATAAATTAGAAGAGGACAACCAAGGCGAATTCATACAAGGTGGTGTGACCGGAGCAGCTGATTTCCAGGCGAATTGTGCCGATTGTCAAAATTACTTGTTTGTTGTACATTTTTTGTGTTCTGATTGCCATCGTGCGTATAATTCGTTAGTGTAGTTTTTTTTTTGCCGCTACCAACCTGTATGAATCCACCTTGAGGACAACTATGTACATAGAATTTACATTCACAATATTTTCTAAGTTAAAGTTTTTTGTTGATTTTTTTTTAGAAAAATACAAAAAATGTTCATCAAAATTTCAGACTTTTAACTGCCGCTTCAAACTTACACTTTAATGTACTAAAATTAAATGTTCTATAAACCTTCATAACTAAAATTTAGTGCAATTATTTTGAATTGTTTCTAATTTATCTGGTGGTTAATAACGAGTTCGACTCTCATAAAAAAAAAAATATTAAATAAATAAACAAAGGAAAATTAGCCACTTACTTAATTAGTTGACAAATTTAAAATGGAAACATTAAATAAATGTATATTATAAAAAATAGCTGGCCGTTGGAGCCACAAATTAGAGGAAAATGCTGATACGCATTCAAAATTAAAAACTTAAGGTCGGAGTGAATAAATAAGTAAGCCGGAAATTCAGTTCTGATAAAAAAGCAATTATTTGAAGAATAAATGAACAAAATAAAAAATAAAAAATTATATACATGCACTGCCGGAACAAAGTATTGGCACAGCAAAATTTTCACAATATTTGCAACAATTTTCATTCTAATATTTTTCCGCTTTGTGCAAAACTCGTGAAAATTCAGCAAATTTTTATGAAAATTTTCCACATTTTAATCAGATTTTTTAGAATTTTTTTGAGTATGCAGATTTGTAGCCCAATCAATTTTATTATAATAAAGTGCACTTACTAATTTTTTTTAATATTGCACAAAGTTTGAATGAACTATAGTTTAATGAAAAAAATATATACATAATAATATTAAATATATTGAAAAATATACATATGTATGGTATCTTACAAATATTAAGTCAACTCACCATTTGGCGGTGGTCTCCAATCGCAGTTCATGATACGATGAGGTAAATTGAAATTTCGCCGCACGTTTATTGACGCGCTGCAAACGCTTCCAAACGCTGCCCATGACGCTGGCAGCTGCCGCGGAGGTGGTCTGCAAGTGCTGCAGGGCACTAGCTGTTCTTCGTTCGCGTGCAACAAAAGTAAACCGAAATCAGCGGCAAAACAAAGGCGCTGATTGATTTTAGTTCGGGTGCTTGTAGAAAATGACACCTGGCCGGCTGGAGGTGTTTTCCGATATCTCAGCGGCCTGTTTTTTGTGTTTTTGTTTTTTTTGTTTGTTTTGTTCACTACTTTGTACAAACGTATGTACGTATGTGTTAGTTGATATATAGCAAATATAGGCAATGTCGCTTTGTTTGTTCGTTGGGTTTTCACAAGTTATTTATGTATTTTGTTTTTCTTTTCGAACACTTGATGTGGCTTTGAGCTCTTTTTTCCGTTTCACTCATTTAAATGCGTTGGTTGTTCGTGATTCTATGCCTCTTTGACGCAAAACTATGAAAATTAATCAATTACTTTTATATTTGTTTTATGCTTTTTTACCTTGTTTCACTATTTTAACTAAGTCTTAACAAAAGGGGTTAGGATAGGATACGCATAGCTTTGACCAAGTTGCGAGTTAATTAACTGCACCAACAACAACGCACACAGCCGCGTAATTCTTGATATGCTCGGGTGCGCTTAGGTAAACACGTCCACAGCGCTTGAAGAAGTTAGGACCGCGCGCTACGCCACACGTTCTCTGCGCAACAAATAAATAAAATAAATTTTTTTATAAAACGTAGAAGTCTAATGTACGTTCGCATCTACTTCGAAGCATAGCGCAGGTCTTCGCCTTCTTTTTTTGTCTTATCTTTTCGCCTTTTACGTCATGTTGTGTTTTGGCAATTGTAGTCCGTCGCGCACTTATTTATGTACATATACATGCATTAGGGTGGTCCAAAAATACATGGGAAAATCTACTTTTTTTAATTTCCTTGCTACCAGCCGCCCGAATTATAAGAAATGGTAAAGAAGTAGGCCCGTATTTTTTTTTTTTTTTGAATCCAGTGAATATGTTACCGGGCCGTCGGGACGTTTAAGGATTTACATACATATACACTGGTGGTCAGCTTATTAGGTTAAGTGACATTTTGTTGTTGTTTATTTCAGTTAAGTTTTTTATACAAATCTAGCACATTACATAACCATCACCACATAAATCCACATTTCAATCTTCGTACAAAAATTATAAAAATTCAATAATCTTTAAGTATTATACACAAACATTTTAAACTTTTCATTCAGAATTTTTAGAAAAATTTTGGGTATGAGTTGTATAGCCCATTAAATTAGTAGTAAGTGCAAATATCCAGACGCTAGAAGAAAATGCACATCGTCAGAAAAAAAAATTTAAACTCAACGCGATTTTCTAGCCTCTGGACTTTAACCTACTAAAATGACTTATGGAAAAACTTCAAAGCCGGCTAATGTTAACCGATTTCAAGATACAAAAAAAAAATACGGGTCTCCTTATTTTCGATATTCTTCAGTTGTACGAGTAGTTACCTACCCTAATGTAGTACATTGTGCTACGTGTATAGAAGATGCATGAGTTGTTGTCGGCGTTTCTTCTTGTCCGTAAAGATTTTAATTGTTTTTTTTTCGCTAATACCCTTCTTTTCGGACTAAGTATGTTGTTTCTCTACAAGTTAACAGCTGATACATATTCTTGTGAAACTGTCTAAGGTGTGTGTGTGTTTGCGTGTGGATTTTTATAATCCCAAGAAATGAGTTAGCATACGAGGATTAACACTTCGTGCCACGTTTAACACACTTTCGCAATTTAACTAGGGTAGCGATATTGACACAAGAAACATCAATATTTACGATTTCGATATTTCTCATAAACAAAAAATGGATGTCAAAAAATCGGCTACAAAGAAATATTAGCTAGCATATATATGCAAGTTTATATAAATCATTCCGATATAGCGCCAGATGCTGTTTGGTAATATCTTTTAGCGTCTCATTTGTTTTCCTTCCTTCTTAATTTCGCTGTTTGTGAGCAGAATTCTTCTTCTAGGAAGGGAGCAAGACCGCATATTCACAAAACATGGGACATTTAAATAAACTTTTAAAATTGTGTCTGACAAATAATTTTTAAAATAATCATTGCTCATCTGAAAATTTTGAATGTTGCAAACTGATTCCTTAAAACATCGATGTTTTTTTGTCCCTTATATCGAGATTTTCGATACATCGATGTATCGTTAGCATCCCTGAAAACTCGACGACTAGCTGAAACTCTGAAAAATGCGGAGGCAAGGAAATTGCATGCGCACATATCTACAAACATTTGTAAAGTTGTACAGATATGAATACGATTGTTTGTATGTACGTATGTACATATGTATGTTTGCAACCCATCCGTTGAGATTAATCATTATTGACTTATTTATAGACGGTCCAATGCGATTGTCAGTCAGTAATGTATGCATTTGTGTAATCTAAAATTTTTTGCATTGCATGCAGCCATTTCCTTAAGTTGTTTTTGTTTTGATTGCGAAAAAGGCAATTTACACTCTACTTACGAATACTACACAACGTGGAATATACATATGCATGTGCTATTTTGTAAACAATTTCCACTGGAATCAGTACGAAATTATTTACACTCCACTGTTCATATAAATACAAATGTATGTACATACAGTGGTCGAATAAATTAAAGCCGCACCACATTTTGACAAGTTTAAACGTATTATTTTTTATTTAAATTTGGTTATTTTTTTTATAAAAATAAACATAGGTCATTCTTCACCAAATTTAAAAAAAAAACTCAACAAACGTTCGTAAAAATTTCGGGAGTTTTTAATTAGATTTTCAACAAAGATTCTGAGTATGAAGTTTTGCAGCCCATTGAATTCTAGTAGAATAAAGTACACGTTTCGAATGGTTAAAAATTACCGTTGATTTTTTGAAATTTTTTAGTCCCATTTGCTTCCGTATAGAAAATTTATTTTTATATAGAAGAAAATAGTCATGTGTTCAACAAAAAAAAAACAAATCTAAAAAAACAACGGTAATTTTTAGATGTTTGAAACTTATACTTTTTCAACCAGATTTGAATGGGCTACAAAACTGCACACCAGGATCTTTGTAGGAAATCAAATTAAAAAAGGTCGAAATTTTTACGAAAGTTCGTCGAGTTTCTTTTAAATATTGCATAAAGTTTGAAACTTTGATTACACTGGTTCTGTTAAAGAATAAACCATATTTTTATAAAAAAATAACTAAAATTATAAATTAAAAAAAATTATGTTAAAACTTATCAAAATATGGTGTGGCTTTAACTGGTTCGACTGCTCAATAATGTTCAATATATATACATATGTATAACCACTATGAAAAAAAAAATAAAAAACGTGACATTTTCATAAATTTTTTATAAAAGTCCAGCTCAAACACCAATAAAATACACGTTTCAAACGTTACACGAAAATTAGAAAAACTCATCAAATTATCACCACAATTTCAAACGTTTTATTCTGAATTTTCAGAAATTTTTTCAGTATTATAGAATGTTTGAAATAGCTAGAAAATCGTTAGGTTTTAAATTTTTTTGCTTACGCTGTTGTGCATTTTCTTCCATATAAAGTATGTTTGAAATTTCATTTTTCTAAAACGTTTTTTTTTTGATAAAAAATTCTGAATGAATATTTTGAGATCTTGGAAAAAATTCGTTGGGCTTTTCTAATTTTTGTACAAAGTTTTTAATGTGAATTTTTTATATAAGGAGATAGCCTTTTATTAAAAATTTATACAGATTAAAGAAAAAGAAACCAAATCTGGTCAAAATGCCGCGTTTCTATTTTTTTCCAATAGGTATGTGCACTCCCAGTTAGAAAATAGGTCACCTATAAGAATGTCATCAATGAAGTCATTGATACATTTTTAAGGAGAATCCAGATATTGTATAATTGTCTGGAACTTACTATGTCTCGGTCTCAAAGGGGTCCGAGTCGAAGACAAGGCATTAACTTTGACAGATATTAGAGAAACCCAGTCTGTATGGCTTAGTACTTGAGCACCAAGCCTGACGAGGAGATCTGACATTCCCACGACAGTCGGGTTTACGTAACCTGAACGACCCAGACTTATATCTAGCCAAGGACTTTCACTTCAGCAACACTCCCCAAAAACTCTTTGGGGAATTTGTATGCTGTTACAACAACAGCAGGAGATCTAACAAAATTTTCGCTTGTCAGGAAGCGATGAGGTATACGTTTCCAACTGGGTATGTATATGCACATATATACAATACATACATACATATGTAAGTGTTTCTATGCATATATGTACATACAAGCAAAATTTTTTTAGCACTGATAACCTAAATACACACAGGTCTAATTTCAATGGCATGCGCTATTTTTTAGAACGACTTTGATTTGCTTTATACGCATTTGAATTACATGGAAATCATTAAAAGGTTAACTAAGCAAGCAATCCGATAAGTTAAATATTGATATGTAGATGTTTTCTTAATAATCAGAATATGGCTCAGCATGTGCAATTGTTATAATAAACGTTTTTTGGTCATCAATCATGAAGGTGGCCCAGCATTGATTTAAAGGTTAGTTCACTATATGTCAACGGTCCTGCTATCCAATATTGAACAAGGGTTCATAGTCTGGCCACCAAATGCGGTAGTGCCCTGAATACACAAGAATGAGGTTTTATTGCCCACAGCTATCTCTACAAAACTTATAGTTATCATCAGGGAACGGATTTTTAGGACCTAAAACCCATAAAAAAGGCCAAAATAAAATTATCAGGAAGAAGGGCTTTTTCCTTGCCCTTTACAATTAAATTTAGGAAACTCAAAAGAAGGCAACATCAAATGTGTATGTACATATGGAATCAGGAAAAGCTAAATCTTGGACATTCTTAAGCAAATTAATTCTCTCTTTAGCAGAAAAAATACATTATCCATAAAATCCGTCCCCGGGTTACCATACATCTACCTAAGTATGTACATATTTACAACATGCGGTACGCAATAGTAAAATATGTTCAGATGTCCTTATTTGTTTGCCTTTCGCGTGACTATATAGTCCAATAAGTATTCGCTTGAGTCGCATCGAACAGGTAGTCACACACTAGCAGATAATGACAGTGGAATTGACAAGCTACCCATTGGCATTGCGCAAGCTGTGGGTAGTTATTTTAATGGTACAGCTGACCAAAAATGCAGAGGTGGACAGGCAAAGCACTAGGAAGTGAAAAAAAAGGAAGTAGCTGACTAGTGCGACTGAAATGAATGAGCCATATGCTATACTAATTTATGAACGTATGTCTGTCCATATGTACTATGTACACAAGTAGGTACATATGCGCATTTATATGATTGGAACACGTAGAACGCTTCACGTTGTTAACTGCTTACTACTTAGTAAGATATTTTAACAATAAGTTCGGCAAGATGCAGCGAATGGTTCAC